ATACAAAATAATGAGATCTTTTGTATCTCAATATTATGGGTATTGACTTCTAATTACAGAAACAGAAGTGTCCTAGACAGTGTCCATGGCAATGAAATCTTAGTGTGATAGTTTTACCTCTTGACATAAAGAGTTCCTCATTAAATTTCATTTTGGAGTCCTTCTAAATAAAAGTGAAACTAGAAAACTTGAAAAACTCTCATTTAAGGTAATTTGGAAGTAAATATCTATAGATGGAAGCTGAGAAGTTTTTGCAAAGAAAAAAGTGTTCTCTGCACACGCACATGACCGTAGAGTCGATAGAGTTGGCACGCTCGTAATTCCTGAATTTTCAGTGATGCCACTCTGACCCTGACCCCACTGTCCTTTCACATCTTTTGCCTTTCCTATAATTCAAGAACAAGCAGTTTTAAAAACAACTGTTCTTGTTTGGGGTCAGGCTGTGTGACATGGTCTTGAAATTTTTGCTTATCTGATTTTCACTAGCTACTTTCAAACTTTCCACTCTGTAGACAAAATAAGATGTACCAAGGAGAAGGATCTTGTTTTTAAGTTGTTAGCTATAACAAGGACTTTTTCCCTGGGCTGATCCTTTTGCTGTAAATAATTTGGAAAATATGGAAAAAGTTTTAATTTAACATTTAAACCAGTTAAGTTACTTATACTTACTGTTGATTTAAAGATCCCAGGAGACCTCCTTCTTGTAACATATTAGAGTAGATGTCCTGATAGTTTAGTGTCAAAAGAATAATGCAATTTGCATCTTAGGTATCTATTACTGGATTTCTCTTGTACCATTGTGTGGACTGATTCTGTTGAACTATGTAGCCACATTATCTCTACCTCTGCATTCCCTTGTAACTGGGCCCATTCGTGTCAATAGCCCTTACATTATTGTACCTCAGATACCTCATACTGAGCTTCTGTTATGGGCTGGGATGCAGTAGAAAGAATAGCTGATGGATGGAAAACGCTGGGACACTGAGGTAAGGAGGGGGCAAGACTCAGATCTTGGTCATTTCTTTGGGCAGTTCTGCAGCTTGTCTCTGTGGCCTTGCCCCACGTGTGAAAATACCAGGCTGGCTCCTCTGCGCCCTCCTCGGCTGTGCATCCCTGCTTGGCCTGTCACAGAGGCCGGAAAAAGGCACAGTCCAGCTGTGCAGGTCATGGTGAAAGTCCTCCTTTCCTTGAAAAATAAAATCAGCCCAGATGCTTCAAATCGTAAGCGTAGCAGAACTCACACCTGTGGATTTGCAAAGATAGGTTCATAATATAGACATCTTTCCTGAGAAATAGGTATGTTTGGCCTAATAGATCTGACAATAAATAACAATAGGTCCCACTTGGTCACTTTTTAAATGGTGTTTTAAATTTTTAATGTTATTCTGATAATTTATCACCTTTGTCATGCCCATTAAAAAAATTTAATAACACACTTTGCATTTCTCTAGGAATTGTTACTGGACCACAGATATTTTAAGAGGTATAAACTAAGGGGAAATTGTTTCAACTTTCTTTTTAATAGATACATAAAATATGATTTTTAGAAAAAATTTTTTTAAAATCCTTTATTTGTATATTTGGTATAGGGTCTCACTACACAACATGTCATTGAGTACCAGGGACTGAACCTGGGTCCTTGAGCTTGCCAGGCAAGTGCTTACACCACCGAGCTATCTCCTCAGCCCTAGTATATATATGAACTTTTTAAGATAGCAGGCATGTATGCAACGGCATTCATTTTTTAACACTTCCATAACACCTTAACGATAACTTTCTGTCCTTGTAAATGTTTCTTCAAGGCTCAATTCTTAAAGCAGCCTTGTGTTTCACTGCCTCTCACCCAGGATTCCTGTCATCTGAACTTTCTGAAATCTGCTTTCTTAAAATCTCAGATGTGTGTGTGAATGTAAACTCAGCATTGTCTTTGTGTCCCGTTATCTTTAAGTTCTCACTTGTTAGTTGGAGTGAAGCCCAGTCGAGCACGCCTGTCACTGCCTCACCACTTTGCAGCTGATGCATGTTCAACAGGACAACATAAACGGCCCCCAACAGGAGGAGGCTTCCGAGCAGCTACCTGGCCGCAAAATCCCCCACAATTGGTGTGTTGCACCTTTGTGCCCGTTTTTAAATACATAACGAAGCATCACAAATGACCCACCTCCGGCTGGCAGTGTAGTCAGCAGTCCGGTGCTGGCAGCGCCGCTGTGTTTCTTCTTGTTTGCAGAAGGCTGGTCCCCCGCCACTTCTTGTATTTCTCTGCTTTTCTGTATTCCAGTCACAGATTCCATCTACCAAGTCTCAGTGATATTTATGAGACTGTGGTGCCTCTTGATGGGCAGAAATGGAAGCATTATGAGGACTAAGGATTCATAAAAATCCAGCTCCCTTGCAGAAGTCCTGTATTAAAGTTTAACAGAAGAACCAGCACATCAGTGCCATATCTTTAGGGTCTCATCTGGGTATGAGTCATTGTAATAGGTCCCAGGGAGCCCCCAGATTCAAGGGGAGGGCGAGGGTTTGGATCTAATGTTCTTCCCCAGACCCTGAGTTTAGGATATAATCACTGTCCATTCATGGCTGTTTCAGTTTTTTTTTCTTTTTTTTTTTTTTTGTTTTGTTTTGTTTTGTTTTTTGAGGGGGGGTTGTGTGTTTTCTTCTGTGTGTTAAACCCAGCATGTCTGGTGAAAGGATAAAACAGTCATAGGGGATGTAGCCCCTGCAAGAGGCTGCACACCACCTGGGATGGGTCACCAGCCCTGGCGTGGAGGGATTTAGTTAAATCAGGGTGTGCCTAGGCTCCACCATTGGCAGAGGAGAAGTCGGGGTGTGGTGTGTGTGTACTGGTTCTTTAGGCAATAGAATGAATTTTACTACTGCTTTTCTGCTTTGGGGCCGATGAGATTCTCATGCCTTACCAGCATGACAGGAAGTTGGACTACAGCTTTTATTACAGGTGAGAAAAATAGGGAAGAAAAAAGACTAGCAACTACTTATTTTTATCACACGTGTCAGCTTTTGCTTGATTTTTAAGGTGGTGTCAGTCACTGTAGAGAGTTGCCTTCGGATGATGTCTTACACAAAGGGAATTAGAAACTAGAAGGCCCAAAGAGTAAGAAAGAATGCAAAAAATGCATTGTCAAATTCACAAAGCTTGCACATTATTTGTAATATTAAATAATTTTGAAACAAAATCCATCAGGAGGGGCCTGGCTGTCTAAAGTGGGCTCAGCTGCATGGCAGTGTCTGTAGTGACACAATATGCTACTTTTTGTGTAAGAAAGGGAAAAGTGTGAATATTTGTATTTGTATACTTTTGCTTGTGTTTGTAAAGAGAGCTAATGTAATAAAAATAAATTTAAATCTAATTTTAAAATGTTTAAGACGAAAAGGGATTGAGCTAGAGGAGACCAGGAAGGAAGTCAGCCTTACCTAAAAACGTCTTGATATGTAGTTCAGCTGTGGAATCATGTTAAGTTTTGTTATGCATAGTATTAAACAGATTACATCCAAAAAGAGCACACTTGCCCCCTGAAAATTCAGAAAACAAAAAGTCATATAGCCACATGGAAAAATATGAAAAAGCAGAAAAACCCTGACTGTACTTTGTTAGTGATGCAACACTTAGGTGAAGTCCAGCTGATCTTAGGATGTGATGTCTTCTCCCTGCATTCTCAGTTAAGATGTGCGCTGAAGACAAAGTGCCAAGACTTTTAAGATTGCTCCAGCACTCTTACTATTAGTAGTCAGATCAGTATGGCCAGGAGTTAAAATTTCTGTACCTAAGAAGATTAAGAATCATAAAATTTAAAAGGTTATGTAAAAGCTTTTAATTAAACTGAAATTGGAAACATTAGGATTTTATCTATCTTTCTGAAAAACGTGTCCTAGATCTTCCCAGATCATAATCTTGGAACAACCCAAGCCCCCTACAGTTCTGGAAGAAATAGTTACCTCTAGGTCTAACATGGGGAAGGTATTTTGGTGACTGTAAAATACCTTGTGCCAGGAAGCAATTGGTGAATTGGTCATTTCAGAAGGAAGGGAAACCAGTTTGAAGGACTCCCACTGCCAGAGATTCAGTGTTTGACTATAAGGGAATGTGAGAAAGTTTATACGTTATTATAAATACTAGTAAAGGATTGTCATACCACCTGAATTTCCACTGTGCACATCCTCTTGGTCTATTCTGAAGGACAGTAGGAATTATTTGATTAGGTAAATGCTGGTAAGGAATTATAAAACATGTACAATGTGATGTTACAGTTCGAGGCTTCCCACCAGCCCCCTCCCCTTCACAATAGGCTTGGTATCTGGACCCACTGACCCTTGCTGTGACAGCGGGTACCTGAGTTTACCTCTTGTCCATCTCTGGTCACCAGCATCTGCCTTGAACTCTGCCTTGTGAGATTCCAGACCTCCGCTCCATTCTAGCCCTTCCTCCTCTTCCCTCAGCACTTTGATCTCTGAAGCTTGCTAAGCATCCCTTCTCTAGAATGAGATCATGTAATGATACTCCTAGGGCCTTGTCTACCCTTTCAAACTCTGAGGAATCGTCACTGGCCCCTAAGATGCCTTCTGCCTGTTGGTATGGTAGATTTTCAGAGTTTCCTCTGCATCTCTACATTCTTTTTTAAAAATTTTATTTATGTATTTATTTGTTTGGTTATATATTTATTTGTTCATTTGTTCACCACACAACTCCGACTTGTAGTGATCCTCCTTCTCACCCTTGCCAGTGCTGGGATTGCAGGTATGCACAACTATGCCCAGTTTCAGGGCTGGCATGGCGTGTGGTACCAGGGATCAAACTCAGGTCCTTGTGCTTGCCAGGCAGGCACTTAGACTGCTGAGCTATCTCCCTAGCTCCAGCGCTACATTCTTAAATGGGCATATATGAAATTCCCTTAGAGATTCAAATGGTTTCAGCAATACTGGAAAAAGTAAACATTGCCACAGCTTGAATGGGGAAATAACATATTTTGTCTTTTTTCTTTTAGCCATGGAATTCCACGAACATTTGCACAGCATAGGCACCAAAGAGGGCCTGAAGGAGCGAAAACTACAAAAAGCAGTGGAGAGCTTTACCTGGAATATTACCATCCTAAAGGTAGCCACTGAGTTGTGCCTGAGCCCAGGCCACTGCATTTGTGTTCTGCTTGCTTCTCTTCCTGAGGATCAGACGCTGTCAGCGGTTGAGGTTACAACATGGTCACTGCACTCAGATGCTGAGCTCTGCCCGCTGGAGGGTGTGCAGGAGTCATGACAGTGTGGTGGCAGGGCGGTGGGCTGGGAGCTCCACGGTGGGCGCCACGGGCTCTGGTGGCCGCACAGGGCCTTCTTGCTTTACCCTGGAATCATTTTAAGTATCATAAATGCCACTTGGAGATAGTATATGTGAAATAGAAAATATTTATGACACAGGAATAATTAAGAATGTAAAGATTATAGTTACTCCCCTGTTGTTTAATAATACAGAATCACAGCCTCAGTATGAAAGCAGCATAATCAAAGGGGATATGTAAAGAAATTGCTATTTGAAAGCTACTTTCTTTCAAGAGGAAAGTTACCTATATTTATATCTTCCTCAGCATGACTGCTTTTAAAAGCTGACCTTTCGTTATTTTTATTACAAAAATAATACATTTGATTATAGGAAAATTTTTAAAGCAATAAACACAGGTGCACATTAATTCCACAATCCAGTGACAATTACTGGTTTTTTGCTATGCATTCTTTTAGGTCTTTTTCTGTTATGTGTAATGTGACACAACCTTCAAACTTTCTTGTTCTATCCCAATGGTTCTTCCTATTTTTTCCAGTGAATAATAATAACACAAAAAATTATTGTATTCTGGATGTTGGACAGCCAAATGTTGAAACACTTTTTGGTATTCACTTTCAAACTTTACGCACAGTTGATTGTAACACTGTAAAAACATTATCCTTTAGTTTCCTCTTTGCCCTCAAGAAAAAAATTCTTTACAACTGAAAAGTTTTCTGATTTGATTTAATAAAAGGTCCCCTTTGCATAGCTATCCAACTGCATTTTCTCACATAAACCCCTACTCATTTTTATAATTAAAATCATTTTCTTGATTTCTTCAAACACTTCCCTTCCTACACATGTACTTTATTTTATATCTGTAGATCAGTTTCAAAGTTCACTGGTTTGCAGTTCAGTAAACAGCAGGCAGAAGGATTTACAATGAAAGGGGATTTGGTTTGCAGTCTGCCAACTCATTCCTTGTCTGAGGCGGGGATATGACCCCGCACACTTCCTGCAGACTCAGGAAAAGGTAACCCAGTGCTTTAAGCCCTGAGGAAGAACAAGTGCTCATTTTGTTTTTATTTTGTAACAGGCAAATGCAGACTTTATGGTCCCATGTTTCACAGGTCAACTATCCTTACTACTCACGTGTGGTCCAGGAACTAGTAGTCTGGGCCCACTTGGGGAACTTCTTGGTGTGGAAACAAAGAAAAAGTTTCCCTTTCACCCTCTGAAGGTTCTTTGAATGAACTAGCACCAGCTGGATCCATAGGAAGAAAAATACACAAAATCACTGTATGCATGGGGGACAGTCACAGGCATGTGATGACCCTAATACCCTGTGAGGTCCAGATACTTAGGTCATCTTCCTAGGAGAGAGGGAGGTGGAGACTGTGACAGTTCTGAGGAGTAGTAAATGATTCTGGGTTAATGAATGGGCCCGATGTGCAAATAATAGTTGGTAAATAATTCTCTTTTGGAATTGAAAGGGCCTGGGCCAGTGGTGGTGTGTTTACAGGACACGCACTGCCCTGGGCTGCTTGTATCTCTGAAAGCTCTAAGAGGTTCGCCATCACTGGCCTGGGTGATGAACAGAGCTTGTGCCAGAGTATGTCTTTTGTGGTTACATTCTTCAGTCTCCCTTCCTGTAGATAAATTTAGATCATGAAAACTCGGGGAAGGGACCAAGGATAATTGTCTTATTCTTTAGAAGATCATCATTAGGCACATGTAAGAATAGCAGAGAACAGCCCATCCTAGCGTCTGCTGCTCTCTAAGGGCTTTATTTAGTTAGTTAGTTCAGGGTTTGAATACACAGATTAGACTCGTAGTGATCCTCCTGTCTTCAGTCTCCCAGTGCTGGGATTACAGGCATACAGCACCACACCCAGTCTCATTTGCTGTGTCAGCATGCCCCAGGGGCAGGGCCAGCACAGCACGCTGGGGATCGAGCCCCAGTCCCTGCACCTGCCTAAGTAGGTGCTTTAGTCCCCTGAGCTATCTGGCCAGCCCAGGGCCTTACCTTTAAAAATCAGCATACTGCCAGGGAGATAGCTCAGAGAATAAGTGCCTGTCTGGCAAGTGCAGGGTCCTGAGTTCAATGCCAGGTACCAGAAAAAAAAAATTTTTTTTTAAATCAGCATACTTGGATGCCCTGTTTCAGAGTGAAACTCCCTGGACTCCTGCGTTAGAAAGGTAGAACCACAGCCCCACTCGAGCCCTGCTGCGTCCCAGTCTGCACGCTTACAGGATCTACAGGAGACTCTCGGGTACATTAGAGCTTGAAGAGTGCTGAGCCACTGAGAATGGGGGCTCTGACACACACGTCAGTGAGGAACAGCCCATGGAAAACAGTGTGTCGTACTTTAAAAGGAGGTAATTAAACCAAGACACCTGTTTCTTTTGAATTACATTCAGAGGAGAAAATTGACACCTCAGACTTGTGTTCATATGGAAATAAATGTGCAGGATGGGAGAATAGGCCTTCAACAATTTCTAGGGCATTTCTTACAGATGGTTATTTGAACATAGTAGAACCTAAGTGAGGAATAGCAAGGAATCTGTGTCCTTGAGTATAACAGAGTGGCGTTTTCCACTTCTGTATTTCAAAGTCTTCTTATTAATCCTTCTTTAGAAGAATGGCTGCTCAAGGGGATCTGAAACAGGCGTCTGGTCTGAGGTGAAATGCCAGCATTTTCCTGGGGGCAGGGAGTGGAACGCCCCAAGTGCCTCTCTCACTTGTTCTTCACAGTGGGTCTTCAGTGCCTAATGGCAGCCCTCCAGGATCTGCCTGCTTCCCGGACTTCTTGGGGCCTCAGAGGCAAACGACGAATTATTTCGTGATTGGAGAGAAACATTATTTTCACTTTTGCCTCACCCTGTTCATGGGAGTCACAAGGGAAGTAGGGGAACCAAGCATCCGGGATGGAGGACTTTCAGTCCTGGGCAGACCCTGATGTGGGGCCCCTGCCCTTGAGGAGCTTCTGTGTCTACAGATATGCATCCCAAGTTGCTAAAATCTTTGCTTGCTTTGGTTTTTAATTTAGAACGTTGTTTTGATATGTAGAAATGAACGAAGGAAAAATGTTTCATGGTCATTGTGCCCAGAATTATCTAATACTAATATCTTGACATACTTCTAATATTTTTCTTAGAATAAAGAGCCTTGATTTGTTGTTGTAAATACATCTTCATTGTATTTTTTAATGTAGAAAAGTTGAAAGTTTTAAAATGTCCTCATCTCATCCCTCTGAGAAAGAACCTGTATTAAACTTGAGTACTCTTTGTATGCATGGATGGTTAACTGGAGACAGATGTCACTGAGTCTGAGCCACGCCCTTTTCACATTTTGACATCTTTCAAATTGATATGTATGTTGCAGTCCACAGTATCTTTGCATTGTGTCATCGCTATAGTAGCAGTGATTTTTCTTTCGTAGTGTAAAGTACTGGTACGTCTCATAAGCACTCATCTTGCAAATATGTCAATAAGTAAGATTCTGCTGTAACTGCTCTTTTTAATTTTTGAAAAATTTATGTAAGACTGGGACGATAGCTTGGCAGCATAGGCGCCTACCTAGCAAGCACAAGGTCCCAAGTTTGATCCCCATTACCCACATGCTGTGCCGGCCCCGGATCTCTGGGTGTCCCGTGCTGGTCTGAGGCTGAAGGATTATAAATTGTAGCCCCTCCTGAGGAACTTAGCAACTAGAGAGATTGTATCTCAAAATTTAAAAGAAGGCTAAGGATGTGGCTTACTGTGAAAGCCATGTATTAAATCCCTGGTACCAGGACAAAAGCCAAGAAAAGAGATGATGAAAAAAAGGAGTTATTTGTTGGATTTTTTAAAAAAGCTTTGTATATCAGTCACAAGAAGTTAGTTGAGACATAACTGTGTAGCAAGACCCTGTACCAAATAAATAAAGATTTTTTTAAAAGGACCGGTGGTCTAAGCACCTGATTGGATACTTGGATGCTCTGTTTCACTCCTAGTAGATAGGACCTGGGTTCAATCCCAGTACCACGTGCCATGCCAGCCTTACCCTGGGTGTGCCCAGCCAGCCACTAAGGCTCGGTGTGGTGGCGCTCACCCGTATCTGACCTCTGGGGAGGCTAAAACAGGAGGAGCACTATGAGTCTAAGCTGTGTAGTGAGACTCTATGCCAAATGCATAATATTAAAAAAAAGTTTACCTTCTACTGTGAAAGATGAGACTATTACCACTCTAATTTTTCCAGATAGAGAATGTTATTTTCCCTATTGTCTAAATTTTAAATGTTCCCAAGACAGTAGTTCCTTATTTTTTGGTGTGAGTACAGTGTGTTAGCTAGCTCACCTTCAGCACTGGTCTGAGAAGCCATCGCAGCTTTCCTGTGGCCACAGGGAATAGCGGTGAGGAAACAAAGCTCAGCGGGGATCTCAGAAAGCTCCTTTGAGTACTCGACTCAGCTTTTTCTTCTCAGAGTTTAGAAAATGTCCTCTTCTTATATTTCTTCTGCATAATTGGGTAAAATCCATTCCCATAGATTTCCAATTCTTTTTTATCCTATCCCTCAAGATCTCACTCTTAAGATAGCCAACACTGATCCTTTTTATTCTTTGTAGACTTTATTGAGGTATAATTTATAAAAGATAAAATTTACCAGTTTTAAGCATGCAATTTGGTGCATTTTCACAAATGCACATATTCATACAGCCTCTGCCTCTTGCTAAAATGTCTTTGTGTCCCTTTGTAGTAAAATCTACCATGTTGGCCATTATGGATCTGATTTCTGTATTTTCACTTGTTCCAGAATATGATATAAATGAAATTACATAGTATATAGTCTTTTGTGCCTAACT